GATGCAGAGGTCAAAAGGCATTAGCCAGGATTGTGCCAACTACATTAAAATGCAAGTTTAAAAAAATTAGAAAAAATACCATTGGGTGGTCTATTTTTTCCTAATAAAAAATGAAACAAAGAGAATCCATGGGAAACATTTCTAAACACTGATCTATAGCTTTGCTGAGCAAACTAGTAGTCAAGGGAGGTGTGCATACTCAGTCTACTTTTGCAGTAAGAAAGTCCTATACATTGGTGACGGATTTAAATAATAATAAATAGAGCTACTTTTGAGAGCAACATATGAGCTTTCAAGTAGTAATTGTGACACCAGATCAGTGCCACAGGAGGACAATCAGGTAGATAAAAATATAAGGACAATAATCCCCCCTCCAGCTTTACTTAAAAAAGAAACCCTCTTTCTGTAAAAGTGCATAGCCGTTTTTGCTTTAAGCCTCCACTTATACAGGTTCTCATTCTAGCTTCCATCTGTGTGCCATGTTGTGTTCAGGTGCACTTGTCATCATTTAACTCCTGTACTGTAGTTATACATCTAAGTTACATTAGTTGCTTTTGCAATTTGCACGTGCAGAAGAGAAACTATGTTAATTGATTCTGAATCTGTAAATTTAAGAAACATACATTTGCTCTTAAATGTTCCCATTATTTCTTCTGGATGACATTAATGAGATACACAAAATTATGCATTGTGATGGATTTATCACTAAGGAAAACACCATCTATAGCACCATGAAAACTAAGAACTGTAATAAAATAAATTACCTACTAAATTTTAAACTGTAAAATGTTTCTTTTTTAATATTGGCAATCATTTTATGATAGCTATGAAGGTTATTGGTATTAACTACAAAAAAAACCCCCTGTAAATTAACCAAGATCACTTTAGATTTTAATAAAATATTGTTTTAATAGATGAGATGACAAGCTATACAAGAGAAGATTAAAGACTGGAATGAAAATATACAAACCATCAAGTTCTATACTTATAAGTCTGAGAAATACAAATCTAATGTCACTGTCTGACCCTCAGAAGTCCTATTAGTAACTAATATCCCCTTCCTCTCATAAGATGTGCAAGGCCTTCGAGCTGATTAATACTACAGTTCCATGTATGCTCTAAATCAGGAATGGGCAAAATACGGCCTGGGGCCCAGATCCAGCCTGCCAAGCCACCGGATCCAGCCTGCAGACCACTGTGCCCGGACCCTCAGCTGCAGCAGTTTAAAGTGCAGTCCATGCGGCAATCTGCTCTGCAGGGAGGGGGAGGCTTTATGTGATCTCCCGTCCCCAGCCCAATCTTCAGCTCCTATAGGATGGAAACAACCAGCCAAGAAGAGTTGAGAGATTGGCTGGGGGCTGGCAGTAACAGACACTTTTTCCCCTTCTTGGAACTGAGAGCCACATGAAGGGAGCAGCCTGCAGTTTCAAGGGTCTGGGGCTGAAGCTGGCAGCAGCCCAGCCTGCCTTGGGGGTGCTGCAAGGCTGCTGGCTGGAGACACTTAGGTAAAGCCTGCCTGTGGCACCCTTGCTCCTCCTGCATCCCAACTCCCTCCCCCAGGTCACCATCCAAACCCTCTACACCCCCTTGCCCCAGGTCACAACTCCCTCCCAGATCCTGTACCACCTCCTACACCACTCCTCCAGGCCAGAATCCTCTCCTGCAACCCAAACACCCTCCGAGATCCTGTACCCCATTCCCCTGACCCAGGTCACAACCCCCTCCTTCACCCAAACTGCCTCTCAGACCTCACCCCATCTCCTGCACCCCAGTCCCTTACCCGTCTGCACCCAAGCTCCATCCTAGACCCTGCATCTCCCCCACAGAAAAGTGCGGCCCTTGACCACTTTCCAAAATCTTGGAGTGGCCACCCCTCAAAAAAATTATTGCCCACCCCTGCTCTAAATAAAGGTAAAATACACTAATAGAATCATAAAGATGTAGGGCTAGAAAGGACCTTGAGAGATCCTCAAGTCCAGCCCCCTGTGCTGGACAGGACCAAGTAAACCTAAACCATCCCAGACCAATCTGTTCTTAAAAATCTCCGGTGATGAGGCTCCACTACTTCGGAGATCTGTTCCACAGCTTAACTACCCTTTTAGTTGTAACAGCCCTTAACATATCTGAAGACTGTTATCAAGGCCTCCCTCAGTCTTCTTTTTTGACAGATTAAATATGTCCAGTTTTTTTTTTTTAAGCCCGCCCTCATAGGTAAGGTTTGCTAAACCATTTTTCTCACTCTCTTCTCTAATTTGTCCACATCTTTCATTATTGTGGTGCCCATAATTGGAGACTGTGGGACAATTTCCTCCTAGAATTAATACACCCCTGTTAATACATCCCAAAACAAGTCACTTTTTTTTGCCCTATAATTGCATTACATTATTGACTCATATTCAATTTGGGGTTCACTATGAGTCTCAGATCCTTTCTGGGAGTACCACTGCCTTGCCAGTTATTCCCTGTTTTGTAGCTGTGCATTAGATTTTTCCTTTCTCATAGACATTCTATAAATATATTCTGCTGCTAGTTAAACCATAAACCTCTCCCCGTGGGAATTCACACACAGAGTGATGGCAGGATTTGGTCCTAATTAGCTGTGCTTCCAGGCTGTAGCTCCCTTTACCATGGATGCTCATGGAAACAGTGAAATTTCAAACAGCCTCAGGCCAAGTCTATTCTAGACCCTGCAGCTTGGCTTGAGGTACGCAACTCCAGCTACATACAATACGTATCTTAAGCCGAGCTGGGCAGCACCCTCACAGCATTGGCTTCCCTTCCTCCTGGCAAGAGCAGGAATACCAGCTGCCGACAAGGGGCACCCTCTGGGTTCGATTTAGCAGGTCTTAACTAGACCCACTAAATTGAACTCTGGAAGTTTGATTGTGGCAGTGTTGGTCTTCTGCGGAGTGAAGATGTGGCCTCAGGCTGTGTCTTTGATAGGCCTGGGGAAAAACTCCTGTGCCCTTACTAGCTGGCCCCTTCCAAACTGGAGTCACATGGAGAAGCTTCAGTACATTTGGGGTTAGGAGAAAAGGCATAGCTTTGCCTTTTTGGAGGCACCCACTCCATTATATATAGAGAGATGAAGGGAAGCATGGTGCATAGGTGAGCTTGAATCATACATAGCTCAATCTTACTCAACCCCTCTGTGTCTTATTTGGTTAGAAAGCTTCAGTTTTGACCCTATGAAGATTTACACAGGTGCATAATTTTAAGCACTGAGTAAGTCCACTGAACTTGGTGGGTTAAAGATAAGCACATGCATAAATGTAGAAGGACTGGGGCCTTAAAAAGGAATGTGTCCAATCCCACAGGCAAAACTCCCACTGAACTTTACCTAAGTAATAATGAAGAAATTGAGTAATAATGCAGAATATGTTGCTAGTTTGAACATACTTGACTTTTTTTTGCACATATTGCTTCAGGGTAAGAGGGTAGCTCATCTACTTTAAGGCTTAGACTTAAATCAGGAATACTAAACACTTCCCAAAGAGCTAAAAGGCATGATTATTGAAGTGGTTTCTGGCTAGATGCTTCATAAAGTTTCTATGCCAGTTTATGCAGCTTAAGAATGAGCATGGAGTTTATTTTAAATGTCATGAGAAATCATATCGCAGGTCAGCATCCAGAAGTGGTTGCTATTTAAACCTTTGCATCTGGATGGAGCACATTAGGTTTATCTACTTCTCACAAGCATTGATATGGGCACTGCTTCTGCATTTCTTACGTAGTCTATTTAAGGTCACATCTTCCCCAGGAGAAATGCTGTTACTTTTATTGTAGGTCATTCCACAAGAGTCTCTTTTATTTTAGTACTGTTTCTCTTTTTCCAAGTAGGAGAGACCTATAAATGGTAATGGAAGGCTTTTCTAATTCAAAGCTGTGCATTTAGATTGCATATTTATCATAAGTAAAACTATTGCCTCCTTATTTATATTGTGGATACATAATACAATGTTAAATCAATGATCTTTAATGGCTTTTCAAATGCTAGGTTTTATGAAATCTTTTAAACTACGCTTAGCAAAATAGTACTTTATTATCCGATCAGCCCTCATAACATTTCCTTCCTTGCTGAACATGGGCCTTGTATTCCTGATTACAAGGACATTTTATTAAAGACACTGTCAAGTTTTTTAATACATTTTGTTTTCCCTGGGCTCTCTTTGAATGTTCAAATACAATTTTTACACTGAACACGCTTGTCCTTTTATGTTTGAAAATGTTTATTATTTTCTTCCTTTGTTTCTTTTGGGGATATGCCTGTTCTTGCGTACAGCCGTAGTTGTCTAAAACATTGTTATATAATTGACTGGTGCAAGCACAGTTCTCAGAATAGTAACATTAATGAGGACTTTTTATATATATTATAGCTCTTTTTAATTCTAGCCCCAAATAATAAGTGCACAAGATAGGAAATATTATATTTTTTATTGGACCAGCTAATAACAGCGTACAAGCTTCAGGATCAGAAATGTCATTTCTCTGAATAGTGGTAGTTCAGGAAAAAAAAGCCTTCTTATGATATAAGAAGATTCCTTGTTCAGTAAAGGAAATTAAAAACACAGACTTTTAGTTTCTCATCCAAATAAATGTGATGAAACAAGCATTTTGTTAAGATTTTAAATTTTTTCACCCCTGCATGATAAAATGCTTTAGTCTTCTGTCCCATTATGAAGGAGTTGGATCAACTCTTCAGGGCATAAACTAATTAGTTGTTGGCTTTAGGATGCAATTGTTCCTCCATTTACAACTTTGATTAATTGACTAGATGCATTATGAGGTTTTTACCGTGTATCCCTTATTGTCCATTACCAGGTGCATTTACTGGTAAACATACAATAATTTTGTAAAAGATCTACTACTAACTTCGATACATCAACTTACCTAATTGAAAATCTTATATTAAATATGATAAAAACACATTCTTTCTTCTTAATATATATGCAGTATAAGAACCATACATTTTAAGGAATGAAAATACTTGAAGCATTAGTTGCTTTTTTGGACAAATGTCACAAATCTATAATTTATTGTTGAGTGACTTCAATGTTGATTGACCTACCTTCTATTTGAATCATATCCTCAGAAGATCTTGACAAAGTCTTAACAATAATGAAAAGTAGTGTGATGAGAAAATGAATAATTAGTAGACAATGGAGCTGAACACCAGTAGCTATTGAAAGCAAAGGTCTCTGAAAATGAGATGAACTGAATATCATAATTTTTATATCTTTATCTAGGAAGTTGAACTTATCAGAAATGTCCAAGAACTTCTGAAAAGAACTTTGATGCAAGCTGTTAACCAGATGCAGTAAGATGCTTTTTACTGTTCACAAGTACTTAATGATTTATAGGACCAAATTCATTCATGGACACAACTGTCAGTAGGTGAAATTCTCAAGATCTGTGCACTACCTACTATTCTATTTAAGACCTCAAAATAAAAACAAGTATGTATATGGAAAGGCATTATTGGAAGCAAGCCAGATGGTGTCAGAGAACACCACGTCTTTTTTTTTTTTTTTAATGATAGTTTCTATTATTCTATAACATTAGGTCACATTTTTCATCTTGCTTTCAAATGTATCTATCTATTTCTGAGATGGCTCAAAATTACATGTAAGTAGAATTATGTTAAAACATTTTATTCTGTTGTAGTTGCTGCTCTATTGCATTGAGACTACTGTAGCTATTTTGAAATCTCTTTTTAAACAATTAGTTTTAAAAAAGTATCCTTTGTCTCCTGAGAGGTAACCATTAGATGTTAGTATGAACTAAGGAAGGGGGAAAAATTGACACTATTCTTGATAGTACAGGCAGTCCCCAGATCCGCACTTATGAACGGGGCTTTTCTCGCCCCGGAGCTCACGGGCGGCAGGTCGCCACCCGTGTCCTCCGGGGCAAGAAAAGCTTCTCCCGGTCTCCCTGGTCTGCTGGGGGGGGTCCAGCAAAGCCGCAGGACCCCTCCCCCCCAGCAGACCAGGGACACCTGAGCAAAGCCGCCGCCTGGGCGGCTTTGCTCATTTGCCCGGGAGCAAAGCCGCCCAGGCAGCGGGACCCCCGCCGCCCGGGCGGCTTTGCTCGGG